TCCCCCCGCCGCGATAGCGCCCCCCCAGCCAACCCCCCCCCCAGTTTCTATACTGCCCATGACGCCATATGGTATGGAATAGCCCTTGGGGCAGTTTGGGTCAACTATTCTGGCTGTGCCCCCTCCCAGTTTCTTGTGCGCCTGGCAGAGCATGGGAAGCTGAAAAGTCCTTGACTGGCATAAGCAGTACTCAGCAACAACTAAACCATCAGAGTGTTATCAACATTCTTCTCCTACTAAATCCAAAACACAGCACTATGCCTGCTACTAGGAAGAAAATTAACTCTATCCCAGCCGAAACCAGGACAATTGGATAGCTTATCCAAATAACAAGCTGGATGTTTATACCTTTGGAGATCTTCAGCTTCAGTTACTGAATTCACCTTTCTCTGAAATTTGGGATTACAGTGTTAATAAGTCTTCTGTGGCCATGTAGTTCTAATCATTGGAGATACGTATAGAGTTACAGAAAACAGCTAATTACTAGAGTCAGTTCGTTGATATGTATTGGATTTGTATTGGAAGAAAGGGTTCTTTACCCAACTGCTCATGAAAGGTGTCTGAACAAAAAGCCTGAATTGTAGGAAGAACCTTTGTATTAAATTGAAAGTCAGTTTTAGATTTAGATATGAAAATTCTGTCGGTTCTGCTTTGATTAATTTTAAATTACTTTGTGTTAGTACACTGTTGCTCATATTTGGCGGCTGGGCGAATGTCTTCAGTTGTGTGTGCTCTACACGTGGGGAATAATTAGATTAGCATACAGAATTTCACCACCACTTGGTGGCAGTACCTGGCTTCAAAAGGACTTGTTTCCGAGCAGATAAAGTGGCTTTGATTCTGTAAAACTATAGGTTAAGGGGGCGTAGATTTATTTTATATTTTCTAAAAGTTAGTGATGTGTTTTAGAAATGAAAATACTTCTTATTTAACCTCCTGGAAGGATTTGCATTTGTATGTCTCTATGGAAAATCTAGCTATCATGTCTAATATGTAATTTAAGAGTATTTCTCGTGTTAATAGTATTCTCTGAAGATGTATTTAATGTTCCCCAGCTGAATTATTTTAGCATTTACTTCTAGCATTTTACTTCAGTTGAGTAGTGTACTTCAAGTAATTTTAGAACGTAAAATTTGCTTCATGGTAGTGTTCTTCATAATATTGTCTTTTGCAGTTAAACAGAGGACTGCCAAAGCTGCTTTTTTGCCTTCTGAAATGTTCTCTGCATTTTCACTTTTCTATTTATTGATATAAAGTTTAGGAAAAGATTCCCCAGTAGATTTTTCTGTCAACAAAGCTAGTAAAAGTATGTGCCCATAGTTATTGCTTCTCAGTTGTGCTGATTCAGCAGTGCACGGGTCCCAGCCTTTTAAACTGGATAATGAAATTGTTGATAAGTGTGAAAGGAGGAACGTGGGGGAGTGGAAGAAGGCAGGAGTTATTTAAATTGGCTTCGCTGCAAAGAAAAGCATAATTCCAATGTATAGCACAGTAATTTGACAGCATACGGCTCCATGGTGAGACTACTTCCTCTTCTCTGCAAGCCAAAATCTTCTGCCATGACAGCAGGTCTCTCATTTTAGTATTATCACCCATGTAAGGACAGTAGTGGTGAGACTAGAGCCTGGAAGAATGCAGGTACTTTCCCAAGTATGTGCTTTTTGTGAAATGCCTTGCTCACTGTGACTGGAGTTACAACAGAGCATTTCTGGTGGGAGTGGGTTCTATGAGGAGGAGGGATTTTTATTGTATTGCCTGAAAAGCCCACAGTGAGAATCCAGCATCCTTAGGCCCCTCTGAGGTGTGACATATCAAGAAGGCATCTAAGTAAATTGTGACTTAAAAGAGGGATTCATCCTGTGGAAAGTCCTGAATTGTAGAAACCCTAATAGAAAATGAGGTGGGACGTGGGAAATGTATGTTTATAAATTTCAGTGTGGTAATAGTACTTTACTTAGTGAGTGATAATATTATTTTATTTAGTGAGAGAACTCTGGAAAACAGGGACACTGGAAGAGAGATAGAAGGGAGAGGGGCATCAAATTATAGTTTTGCTGTATGTTCGACATAACTTGGGATAAAGAGAATGCACTTTTGCTGTATACCTAATTATTTTTGTGTCATTTTCTTAAGCTGTCAGAGTGATAAATCTGAAGTTAGTGGTTGGAAACTTTTCACTTAAAATACTCTTGTGCCTATAGTGCTGATATTTTGAAATGAAAGGAAAAAAGTGGATAGTCTGAGCATATGGAGCACTCTAAAGAGGAGTAAAGTAAGCAAGAATTGGAATACTGTGTGGCAAAGTGTACTAAAACAGAATCACCAAATAGTTGAGGTTGGAAGGGACCTGTGGAGATCTTGTCTGATCCTCTGCCTTAAGCAGGGTCACCTAGAGCAGCTTGCCCAGGACCATGTCTGAACAGCTTTTGAATGTCTCCAAGGATGGAGGCTCCACAACCTCTCTGAGCAATTTTGTGCCAGTCATTCTCACAGTAAAAAAGTTGTCCTTGTTTTCAGATGGAAACTCAACGTATTTTAGTTTGTATCCATTACTTCTTGTCCTGTCACTGAACACCACTGGAAGGAGTCTGACTCGGTCCCTTTGTACCCTGCCTTCAGATGTTTGTACATGTTGATGAGAACCTACCAAGCTTTCTCTTCTCTAGGCTGAACAGTCCTAACTCTATCAACCTTTCCTCATATGAGATGCTCCGGTCTCTCAGTTGTCCTAGTGGCCCGTTGCTGGGCTGTCTCCAGTAGCTCCATATTTCTTTTGGACTGGGCAGCCCAGAACTGGACACCCTGCTCCAGGTGTAGCCTTACCAGTGCTGAGTGGAGGAGAAGGATCACCTCCCTCAGCGTGCTGGCAGCGCTCCTAACGCAGACCAGGATACTGTTGGCCGCCTTTGCCACAAGGGCACGCTGTTGGCTCCCGTTCAGCTTGCTGTCCAGCAGGACCCGCAAGTACGTCTCTGCAAAGCTGCTTTCCACCGAGCACTGGTGCATGGCGTTATTCATGGTGCAGGACTTCATACTTTCCTTTGTTGAACTTCATGAGGTTTCTGTCAGCTGTTTCTCCAGCCTGTTGAGGTCCATCTGAATGGCAGCACAACCTGCTGTATCAGCCACTCCGCTCAGTCTTTTATCACCAGCAAACTTGCTGAGAGTACCTTCTGCCCCGTCATCCAGGCCATTAATGAAGATGTTGAACAGTGTTGGACCCAGTATTGACCCCAGGATACAGCGCTAGTTACTGGCCACCAACTACACTTTGTACCACTGATCACAACCTTAATTTTTTGGCAGCTTGGTAAATAAAATGTTGTCTCACAACAAGAATAGGAGCAGGGCTTTTATTTACAGACTCTAATAAGGGAAAGCTTTCTTGTTCTGTAATGCTAGTGGTTAATAAAATAGACTATTCATTGTATTGTGTCTAGATAAAAGCAATTGTGGTAGCATACTTAAGGCTTAAGAATATATTTCACTGGAAAACACAGGTAATGGTGATGAAAGAGATGAAAAGTGTTTTCCCAAACATTCGGTTTCTTCGGAGAGAAAAAAGGTGTGAGCATGTGAGACTGACATAAAGGAAAAGAATTTACGCTTGGAAAATTACATAATGGAACAATTTTAGAGAGAAATAGCATGTATTATCACAGAGCATTACATATGTATTTTTCAAAGTTCTGTATCTCTTAATAGAATGCTGCTAGTCATTACCATGTATGTCTGCATTTAGGAAAATTCAGTTTTTGATTGTAGTTCTCATCTTTTGTAGAAACCAATGGCAGTGCGATTCAGACTAGATTGCACTACTGAAAATCCAAACTGGACAAAGAGCTGCAGGAATGTGGAGACTTAAGTACTTGGCTGTCCTCTGTGGACAAGGTTGTGGAGTGCTGGGGGGAGTTCTGGAAGCCTGTGGAGTTGCCAGACAACGTGTGACTGTTCTTAAGTGACCAGATTCAAAGTCTTGGGCTTTTGTACTGGCAAGGCATCTTTTAGGAACACCTAATTCACTTTGAAAAGTCTCTACCAATTAAACCATCTTAAACTGCTGCATTAGCACGCACAACTAGAAGAATATTTTTCAAATGCGTACATCTGATTCTTGTGACGCTTAAATTGTACTGTCATTTATTTTATTGATTTCAGTATTGAATTTTAGCATGATGCACCCCATTGTGACAAACTGGTTTAGTTTCCCAAGCAAATCAATATTAGAGAAATAAGATTAAGAATGGTCGGTGGCAGTAATGGTATTCTCTTCTACGATTTCTGAATTGCTTCCGTTGTGTACTTTTACCTTTCACATGCGAGATGTTAAAATATCAGTCTTAAACATTTTAGACCAGAAATCAAGTTTCTGAAATTCTGACATTTTTAAGGAAACATTGTTTTTTCCTTACTACCTGACGCACAACTTTTGAAGAAATTGTTTCAATAGAAACAAAGTTTCAGGTAAATAAACTTTCTGGAAAAGTGTGCTTCAGGTTTGATGTTCCTGAGTGTAATCTTACTGAAAAGACAGGCTGCTTTTGTGTGATGACTCCTATAATTCAAAGTTTCTCTTTGGTCAACCTTTTCTGCAGAGATGGGACAACTCGGTGAATCTTTCAACAGTATAACAAAAGGTTATACACTGGGTGGCAATAACTTGCTATTTCTTTATGTAGGCATGATACAACTTCTTAGTGTTGTATCAGTAATTTTTCTTGCTGCTTTAAAAATAGTTTTTAATATGGGAGTCCAATTAGCTATGAGAGTTTTCCGATGTTTGTGTTTTCATTTTAACAGCTATGGATCTGAATTGAAGATAACTAGTTTTCAGTGGGACTCCTTAGACTGTAGTTATATTAATAACCATATACTTGTATGTAAAGTAGGTGTGGGAGGGCAGTATTCATGGTGGTGTGCATATTAAACAACAGAAGTTGTTTTTTCTTTAAAAAAAAAAAATCCAGGAATGTTCAGGTGAATTGTTGGTTTCAAAGCTAAGTAAGGCAGTCTACAAATAGTGTGTCTGCTGTGCAGAGGGGAATGTATTTTCAACAACTTAATTTGCAGACGCAAATAGAAGCTGGAGGAAGGTACGGTGAGTCACTGACTCGTCCTCTGGTTGTCAGGCTTTGTGGTTCTCCTTCCATCTGAACGGTGGATCTGGGTAGCTTTTTAAGAAGAGATAAAGTGGAAAACAAGTAACAGGTATTCTTCCAACAATCAAAGTATCGTGATTTTATTGATGTGAGGTATTCATATTGCTAGATAACACCCGAAACTCAGGGGGTGTGAACTGCGTGCATTACTGTGTGGAAGAGGCAAAAATATTGTCAGCTGTCCTCTAAGTAATTTGATTCCCTCCCACCCCCAAGATGTAGCTGGTTTATGCTAATACACTACTAGTTCCTCTGTTACTCTGTAAAAACCTTAATTTTCCAAAGGTTCTTAAACATTTCACATTTGATGGAAACTCTGTGCTTGACGTTTGCTGTGATTAAGTTGTTAAAGGAATAGACTGTGTAATGGGGCAAAATGGAAGGAGACACCTCTTTAGTCCTGTGCCACGATGTACTTAAGCTCTCTCTGGTCTGCTGTTTGTTGCCTAAAATTCTGTGACTTCAGTTCCATCATCTTTAACATAATCTGTCATTTGAGAAAGCTTTATTACAGGATTGCTTGTAGATAAAGCAATAGTTTTGTCAGTTTTATCTACTGACATAACAAAGTCTTGAAGAAGAATCTAAATGGGAACAGTGCAAATCTGAAACACCTTTCCTATCTCTTGAATACTTGAATAATCCCTTGAGTGTCCTGGTTATTCACATACCTGCTTAAAGAACTTGACCTATGCGGAGTTACTTAGCACAGGACAAGTATATTTTTGCCTTCATTACAGCACTGCTGAAAGACACTATATTTCTTCAGTTACTTTAACTAGGCTGATTAAGTCCAATCCATTTAGGAGATGGCTTCTAAGTTGTTGTGCCACTTAATAGTCACTCTGGGCTTTTAGGTAATTGGTTTATATTTATGAGTTTAATGAGAAAGTTGATATCAAAACACATAAAAGCACTTCATGCTTTTGCCAAACTCAACCAAATTAATCAGTCTTAATTTTTCAGCTCCATTGTGTTTTTGAAATCTATTGTAAAGCCTTGTAAAACAACATTTGTTTTTTTTAACAGAAAGTGACCAATCTCTTAACTACAACTGCTAGTAGGCAACAATGTAGTACACTTAGCACTGGAGTGTAAGCTTTAATGAACTAGCATTGCATGAAGGCAATACTCTTAATTTGGTGTGTGACCCTATTACATAGCGAAGGTTGTCATTATGAAATAAGAACTTGGAAATGTCGTAAACCTGCTGGTAATAAATACAATTAATAATGTACATAGAACAATGGAATTAAGTACATTCCTATCAAAAAGAATTAGTAATGAACAGAAAGTGGACAGCATAGATCTGATGACAGGAAGGTTGCAGCTAATCTGAATTACTGAGTGACCTAGGAAGCTTGCTCTCAGAGGGATTACCGAATAATTATGTTAATATGCAATTATCACCTCATTTCTTCTATAGTAACCTCAAGATGTAGTGTAGTAAGGGTGTTATAGCAAGTGCTGATAGTTTGCAAAAATACTGATGTTTAAGATTTTTGAGACAATAAGATTAGCCTAAGGCATTTAAATTACGATCTGTCAGCTTGAAGATAGATCTGACCTTACACTTTTTTAATGCTTAGACTATCTGGCTACAGGCAGTCATCGCTGCAGAACTCATTATGATTTTAAAAACTGGTATTTTATGGAGAAAAACAATACTAAATATTATGTAAATTTTAAAGTACTTAATTAAATAGGGGTGGAATGTGGCTTACGTGGCTAAATAATTGGTTTTCTACTTTTAAATATGAAATAATTTCTGTATAATAAATAGCATATCATGTAAACCAGGAATAAAACTGTTAACTGCATTACAGTCATTCTAGGCTTAACTGAAATTATTGTATTGAATTTGGCCTAGCCTTTTAGATGAAGTGTGTTTCAAAGGTATGCGCCTGGGATTGCGTACGCTTGCGTACGCTTGTTTTTGAGCATTGCCATTTTTACACTTACACATCTCCTAGGTATATTGCACTATGTGCTAAAATAAAAATTACCTCAACTGTATAGTGCTTGCCCTGGTAGAGGATATAACAAGCACTATTTGCAGCAAATTTCAAGTTTGATCTCAGTGTTTAATTTTTCAGATATACTAAGTAAGGATTAATTACTATATATTTGGACAGAATTAATAATTTGTGTATTTCTGATATGGTATAGAGAAGACAATTTTAAAACTGTGATGGAAATATGCAAAGACTGTTGCATAGCCTTGGTTATGTCCTAGTTCTTACAATGATTGATTTTTCTTTTTTCCCCTGAGTGTTTAAATTAGGTAATGTTTCCGTTTGGGTGTTGTGCTTCCTGAATGGTATGAGTTAGATGACAACGTTTCCTCAAAAACGATGGCATTATGTGGAACATTTTCTTACACGTGTCTAGTTACACCTGTCGTTGTTACTGCATAAATTTCTACACATGGAGTAGATAATGTAAATGAAGTATTGCGTCTTGGCTCAGTGTCATCGCGAGACTCTAAATTACTGCAATTTAAAAAGATATTTTATATGTTTTCTTTAATACCATGCTCTTAAAACTGGTAACTTTCTTCTTGTTGTCCTGTGTATAAAATAGCGAATTGTACCACCCTGATAGCTGGAAAAAAATGTGATAATTAGCAGAAAATTATTAAAATGTAACAGCGATATTATTGATACAGTAAGCATTTCGGGCTTGATTCAAAGACTGAAATCTGTAGGGACAGCTGTATTACCATAGAAGACTTCTAGTCAGATCCATATGGAATAGCTCACAATCTCCGTAAATACACAATATGGAAAGGAGTCTCTTACAAGATCGCATAGTGTAATGTTTTGGATATTGTGTATGATAAATCTGAAGAGAGTCTCAGCTTAAGGGTGATTGTATGGTGCCCTAGCCACCTTTTTAACTTAAGCTTTAACACTAATATTTAGCATCAGTATGGTTTTGTATGTAGAGCAGCATGGTTTTGTCTTCATCACGTAAATCTGCGAAAAGTTTTCGGGAGCCATTCCGATAATGAGGATTGCAATCTCCAAGCAGGCACGATATTCTCAGCTTGCCTCCCTGCTGTTCGGGGGGTACCGATGAAGTTGCTTTAAATGGGAAGCGTCTGTTCTTCCTCTGAACCCCTCACACCAGAACAGATGGGTGGAACTTGGAACATGGAAGGTTTTACCTCAGAGGTGGTAACAGTGAAGCCACTCATTAACACTGAATTTACCACTTCGTTAGCAACGTTGCTTCCTGTTGAGAAAAGCTAATACAGGCTCTCAAATTGACTGAGCATACATTTGTCTACCTCTGCAGTAATAAAACGAGGAAAACGCACATCTTTCAGGCAAAATTGGCTTACTAAATTTTTTCTAAACTTTTTGTGAACATTTTTGTACTCTGCTGCCTGATACTGTACGAAGCTTACACTATTCAGTTGTAAACTCGTCGGAGCTGTTGTGCATCCTTGGAGGTTTCACTTCTTTTAATTGACTTTTGCATTACTGATTCTTAGTGCATGTTTGCACTGCCCATTCCGAACTTGTGTACGTGATGTAAAGACTCCTGCTGGGTGGTGCATTATCACCATTTTAGGGTGATAGCTTTGAATGTGATCTGATTTGAAGTCTTTATTATGGTGGAAGGTGCCCCATCTCAAAACAGCAAAGAAATGCAAAAATCTAAGAAATGGGAAGGTGAGAAACTGGGGTGTCTAGTAGAACATTTGCATAAAGGTGTGTTATAGATGAATAATACAATAAAATATTTCATACACTTTAAGCATTTATTATGCGTCTGACACAAGCATTGCTGTATTCCTAAATTGGCTAGCTCAATGATTGAGTAGCAAAGGAAGCGTTTTAATGGCAAAATTTTTTCATGATGTTTCTACTCCAAATGTAGTTACTTCTATCTTCAAAATAGTAAATAAGTCATATTACATTAAGGTTTGTTTTTCACAAACTTAAAGGAGGTTAAAGTATTTATTTTGTCCTTTTGCCTATTTGAAACAAAACAAGCACAGTAAGAGAATGTCCATGAGGCCGTAGCTAGCTTTGAATTGTGTGGATAGCTATCCTAACGTTGAATTGAAAAACTAACAGAAATTCTGGACTCGTTTTAGAGTGTGATGTATGAAGATGAAAGTGGTGTCTTAACCAGCTTGTTTTCTCTCCTTAGGAAAAAAGGATGTCAAGTGTGGTCTTCCTTGATTTCGATGAAGGACCATTGCAGGGAGCCATGGATATTAGTTGTGAGTTATAACATCTTAATTCAAAGAGTCTAGGTAATGACTCCTTTTAACTGAGCTCCATTCAAAATGCTAATGAGTAACTGAAACTAAGTATGTGATGGCAGGAATCAAATCCCCCAAAAGATCAAAGCAAATAGTACTCTTTAAGGGTAAAATATGTGATTTCTGTAAAATATAGATAGATGTTTCAGGCTCCTAGATGGGTGTTTCAATGCCTTATGCTTACTGTGTTCTGAGGATCCGTATAAGAGGTGAACGCTCCTGTTTAGTACACGCTGATTTTCATGTGCAGGCAACTCCTTTGTGCTCACCAAGCATTAGGTGGATGATTCTGTGTATGAATGAAAGTCACGTGTAGAAAGACGTATTAAGTACACAAGGCCTCCCAGAGGGAATTAACATGTAGTAGTTCTCTGTACTAGTAGATACCGTTATTGTCATAGTCTGGATTTGACATGGTGATTTCCTCTGGTAGGTAAATCCTAATTAAATGGTTCTTTCTAGTTGTGGGGTTTTTTTCCACCTTTGAGAAAATACTATTTTATTTGCTTATTTAAAATGGCCTTATAACATAAGCAGGATCTGATTTATTTATTTTAAAGCAAGGAGAGTCCTTTTGTAAGAAGGGAATGGGAAGATACTTAATTTCTTCAGTGAGTTTGATCTTTTGCTATGTCTCTGTCAGTAATCAGATGTTCAAAATCAAAATCAGCTTAGTTGTGTTTCCTCCTTTAATACCGAGCTAAACACTTCTGCAGGCTTCTGTGTAGCATCAGGTCAGTTGTATACAAGCATTTTGAAAAAAGTGATACCTTGAGATATGTAAAGATTATTTTGGTTTCCTGGGTGCTAAAGGGAAATACCTACCAAAAACGCACTGAAATGATTAGCAGATATCTGGGTAGCCTTTACTCCTAACTTGTTTTACTTCTGGGAAACAACAAAAGATGAACTCTGTGTTTATGTTAATGTACACGTAGAATATATTTGCACAGTTTTTGACAATCTCGTTTCCCTCATCTTGCTTGCGTGTAGGTGTTCAGGCTTTTTTGAGCAGGGATACCAGGCAGTGACAAGCTTGCTGTATGGTTATTAATATAGCATAGTAAAAAAGTGTCATTTTTTAAATCGCTTCATTGATTAATTTTAAATATGTCTTGAATATCCTAAATTAAAAAAAATACATTTTTAACAAGTTCAAAACATAATTTTAGATTACAGTGTGAAGAAGGGTGATCCTGAAGAAAAATGTAAATTAAAATTGCCATGATTTATTTCTGTGATTGCCTGATTCTTTTCTTGTTTATTTTTTAGTATAAATGTACTTAATGGACAGACCAGCAATATGGATGATTTAGAGATAAATACTGAAGTCACTGGTGCTAAAGAAGAAGAAATCCTGTGTGATGATAATTTCATATCTGAGGAAGAAGGTGGCATTCCTAAACCACAAGAGGGTGACACGTCATTTCAGAAGAACAATACATTGACTCTGCCTGAGGAGCTATCAAGGGACAGATCTGAAAAAGCCTTAAGTGGAGGCCAGGCTTCTCTATTTATACACACTGGTGCTCCTACTGTTTCTAGCGAAAACTTTATCTTGTCTAGAGGAACTGCTGTTAATGGACCAGTTTCACACTCCACCTCAACTAAGACTTCCATTATGAATAAAGGCAGTGTTTCGTTAACCGCTGGACAGCCTGTAGGTCATCACACAGATTCCTGCTCAACTTTGACAGTGGTTCATGATCTTCAGCTGCCTGCAAAGAGTACAACACAGAAATCAAATCAGCACCAAGTTTTATTTTTGTTACCTGATGTAGCACATGCTAAGAACCTGACTCATTCCATTAAAAATCTACCTACCTCTGCTTCAATTGGTTGTGATTCACAGAAATCAGTAGGAAATAGTGTAGATAGCACTTTAGTAGGCCAAGTAGAAGTTTGTGAGGATGATAAAAATTTACTCGTAAAAGATGATTGTGTCGATACATTAACAGGCATTTCCTCAGGTACAGGTGGTTTTAGATCGGGATGCGATCCCAGCTGGGATCCACAAAAAGAGTTTATACAGTTTCTTATGACAAATGAAGAAACAATAGAGAAATCTCCCATTCACTGTAAAGTAGGCTTAGAAAAAAAGCGAAAAAGGAAAATGGATGTTAGTAAAATCACACGCTATACTGAAGACTGTTTTGGTGATACCAGTTGTATTCCTAGTAAATCAAAACTATTAAGTGTTGACTTCTTAGAGCAGAATGAGGAGCTACAAATAGTAGAGCCGCAAAAATATTCATTGAGTAAAGTAAAGCCTGAATCCACAGATGAAGAGCTGGAAGCTGTTGATGCTATCCAGCAGCTCATTTACAGTCCCACTAGTAACTGTGCAGAAGATACTTCTCCTGTTCACACTAGCACTTTTCTTTCCAATACTTTAAAAAATAAATGTGAACAGAATGATTCTGAGTCGCCATCTACTTTCAGTACTGATGAACCATCATTTTATCCCTGTACAAAGTGCAATGTGAATTTTAGGGAGAAAAAACACCTGCATAGGCATATGATGTACCATTTAGATGGGAACAGTCATTTCCGACATCTCAATGTCCCCAGGCCCTATGCATGTAGGGAATGTGGAAGGACATTTCGAGATCGTAATTCACTTCTTAAACATATGATAATTCACCAGGAAAGAAGGCAGAAACTGATGGAAGAAATCCGTGAGCTGAAAGAACTTCAGGATGAGGGTAGGAGTGCACGGTTACAGTGCCCACAGTGTGTATTTGGTACCAATTGTCCCAAAACGTTTGTGCAGCATGCAAAGACACATGAAAAAGATAAAAGATATTATTGCTGTGAGGAATGCAATTTCATGGCTGTGACAGAAAATGAACTGGAATGCCATCGAGGGATCGCTCATGGAGCAGTAGTCAAATGTTCAATTATCGGTAGCGACATGTCCCAGAGGAAAACACAGAAAAAAGCATCCTTGAAAGATCCGTATTTAGGATCCTCAAAAAAGTCATCGACATATATGTGTAAGATGTGTCCATTTACTACTTCAGCTAGAAGCATTTTAAAAAAACACGTGGAATATTTGCACCCAGCATCATGCATTGATCCCTTTGGTAGCCATCTTAGACTAGAGAAAAGAAAAGGCAGCATAATAGAAGAATCTTTAGATTTTGGGAGCAGGACAAAACAGTTGATCAAACAATCTTCTACTTTTCCAAAGAACTCTGTTTTAAAACAGGACGTAAAAAGATCATTTGGCTCTACTTCACAGTCCAGTAACTTCGCAAAACTTCACAAGAGACCCTACAGGATACAGAAGGCTCGGAAAAGCGTTTCACAGTCATCTGTAAGTGTGTGCAATCTAAATTCTACAAACAAGACCTTTTTGATTAGAAATAGCATTGACCAGAAACCTAAATGTTTTCATCAAGCAGCAAAGCAGAAAGCTAGTGTCAAAACACGTGGTAATTATTTATATAGACACAAATATGAAAACTACAGGATGATTAAAAAATCTAGTGACTCTTATCCTTTGCATTTAAAAAAGGAAGAGTCCAACTCTGTCAGTTCTTTACATTTATTTTCTTCATCAAGTAGTCCCCATAATAATTGTTTTGTCATGGATTCAAATAATCTTGATTGCAAAAGGGCAGAAGGCTGTAAAGATCGTAGGCATGTAGCTGTAAAAAGAGTGGTTAAAGAATCCAAGAGGGAAGGCTCTGTTACAGGAGATGATTTGGATTGCTATCCAGATTTTCTGCATAAAATGACTGTTGTTGTTTTACAGAAACTTAACTCTGCTGAAAAAAAAGACAGCTATGAAACGGAGGATGAAAGTTCATGGGATAATGTTGAACTATGTGATTACACTACACAGTCTGTGGAGGATGAATCTTACAGTGATATTAATCAGGAGCATGTAAACCTATTCCCCATATTCAAAGGTAAAATGGAAGATCATGAAGCTGGTGATAAATCTTCACTTAGTTATGAGCAGAATGATGGCTTTTATTTTGAGTATTACGAAGATGCTGAGGGTACTAGCTTCCTGCATGATTTGCATGATCCTCAGAATTTAGAAAATGTAGGATCAGCATTGCCAAAGCATAATTCAGTTTTCCATTGGACTGATTTGTCGCTGGAAAAGAAGTCCTGCCCATACTGTCCAGCAACCTTTGAAACGGGTGTTGGATTGTCCAATCATGTCAGAGGACATCTTCACAGAGCTGGACTAAGCTATGAAGCCCGTCATGTTGTTTCACCAGAACAGATAGCAACAAGTGACAAAATGCAACATTTTAAAAGGACTGGAACAGGAACTCCTGTTAAACGTGTTAGAAAAGGTAAGTTGGTTTGGTTTGGTTTTCTAATTTGGGTATAAAGTAAAGGGAACAAAGGGATTTATTGAGCACTAAACAAGACTTGCTTTATCTTGTTGTAAAGCCTCTCTTCTGGTCCTTGTGATTTGCTATTGTAACGTTTAACTGTATAAAATTGTCAAAAAACATGAAAATTATTTTCTTTGTAGCGATTGAGAAATCTGAAACTTCCTCTGAGCATACATGTCAGCTCTGTGGAGGCTGGTTCGATACTAAAATTGGATTGTCAAATCACGTGCGAGGACACCTGAAGAGGCTTGGCAAAACCAAGTGGGATGCGCACAAGTCTCCGATCTGTGTTCTGAACGAGATGATGCAAAATGAAGAGAAGTATGAAAAAATTCTGAAGGCTTTGAACAGTCGCCGCATTATTCCCAGACCGTTTGTTGCTCAGAAATTTGCATCAAATGATGACTTTTTATCTCGGAATGTTATACCTCTTGAAGCATACCATAATGGCCTAAAGACTGAAGATACATCTGTGTCTGCATCGGAAGAAGAAGGGCTGAGTTTCCTAAATGAATGTGATGAAACAAAAGCAGTGCTACATGATGAAAAAAAAAATCAGTCACTTACACTGATAGAACTCCTGAAAAATAAGAGGTTAGGAGAAGAAAGGAATGCTGATATTTCTCCTCAAAAGATTCATAATCAAACTGCAAGAAAGAGGTTTGTTCAGAAATGTGTTCTTCCATTAAATGAAGACAGTCCATTGATGTATCAGCCACAAAAAATGGACTTGACTATGCAGTCAGGTAAGATGATGTTTCTAGTTGTCTTGACAACATTTCCAAAGAATCCTTTAATTCGTAGAAAGTGTACAAGCGCAGAGTATTTTATTTGGGATTCTGTTCATTTAATTCTTGTTTTGTTTCCAGAAGACTCTGACTGCGAGAGGTAGCACAGCAAATTTTTCTGACACTTTTTTCCTAAAGTGAAAAAGCGCCTCAGCGGCACTGAGGGGGTTTTGCATGGAACATAGTTCCTGTTCTGCATGTGGCTGGGCATAGAAATTCAAAGCGGACACAAAATGAGCCTCAGTAAGGAAGAAGACACATCCTGCAATAACAAGTTGAAGTGTTCATACATATTTGGTAGACTAACAGTTCTGAAATGTTTGGGCTTGTAACCCGGTTTCTGGGCATTAGAACAGCTGGTTTGGGAATGACTTCATTTGAATCTTTGAGGTTTGTGCAAAGCAGCATTTGCTCAAACTAACAGAACTGTTGATACCATTATAAATACATACTATTCCAAATTGGTGAATCACTGTCAGCTAATTCTGATGGGTTTAGTCAAACATACTCCTACAACATAGATTAATTCTTATTTGTTTCAAAATTGCGGCTGCTCTGAGAAACTGATGCTTGCTTAGGGCCTGTCTATCCTGAGTGAAGACCTGTGCTGGTTCAAGCTTTGTTGAAACACAGTTGTAGCCAGCAGGTTTCTAATGCACAGTCCCTGTCCGATACGGCCCCTCCACTGAGAATTGTGTTAATGAAACAATTCTGTAATCAACTGCCTAGATACTCTGTATACTGATAGAGCAGGTTTTTAGAGTGATGTTTTTAACCTACTTGTCACATAAGAGTTATTTCTAGTCTTGGGGGATTCTTAAAACATCCTTTTTAATGTGTATGTAGAGCTTGCTTTTACCTGTTTCTTGTTTGGACACCACCTTATAATGCTGCAGGATTCATTAGACTGAGGAACAGGATCTTATTTTTATACCCCTGACTTTTTTGGTTCTGTTGGTTTTCTTGTTATTACTCAGTGCAGGTTAGTAAAACTGGCAGTGCCTAGTACTTTTTCACCTATATTCTTGTCTTCCTTTAACCAAATAAAAAGAACAACAATCCAAGGTGCTCAGAAGCTCTTTTAGGGGACTACAAAAGTGTGGCAATCGATTTCTTAACGAAGGTGGCTTTCTAAAATGACATAGTGGAGGTGGAACAGAATTACATTTAATGTCATCTGGACGTCTGTGGTTGTCCTTTAAGACAGGAGATTGCTTAATAAAGGAAGTGTATCTTTGACAGGCTTAATGATTTGAAAAACAATGCTAAAGGAATAGCTTGCCAAACCTGACACTGTGTATTGCTTTCTGTTTAATATTTACCGCTGAATACTAGGTAGCACCTCTTTTGGTTGTGACGAACAACCAGGTAAAAATAAACATACGCTTGCATAGTACTAACCAGTTACGAATAGGACCCTATAATTATCTGTGGCTGAGGTAACAATTTGACAACTAACGCCCTGTGCCAGTTGAGTTAATAAGAAAATATTTAACATCAAGTTGAAATTCTTCTGTTTTTCCTAAAAAGGCAAATATTTCTAATTCTGGTTTTAGTTTTAAAAAGGTTTTTACCAACCAGGTGTTCTTCTTCTGTAACTTGCCTGAAAAAAAGAGCATGTCTTCTGTGGGCTGCTGGAGGATAGGATTCTTTCTTTCCTGCAAACAGAGGCTTTCCAGCTCAGTAGTTTTAGCTTTTTTATTTATTCTTCTAATAATTTATTAGTAGAGAACTTGGAACATTAGTTGATCAAACCAATCTTTGGTAAAATGAGGGGAGAAACATTATGGTGAAGTTGAGCAGGGGATAAGTTATAATTGTTTCTTTGTCTGGTAAGTGAGGAGTTCAGTATTGTGTCACTGTTTTCCTGTGATAAATAGCATGTTGCTTTGTTGATCATTTATTTAGCACAAAGATTTTAGAAAAAACTTCAAATCATTAACTTTCATTATCGATTGCGCATCTAAAGTAATGAACAGAAAATGCACTGAACAAAATGTTTTGTCTAACAGCTGTTCAGTGGTGTGTTTTACCACCTTTTTCTCCGAGCCTTCAACAGCAGCCTAATTTAGTATTGAGCTCTTCCGTCTTATGGGTAAAACACTTTTAATTACCACTTTGCCAACTAGACTTTTTAAATTCTCTTTATTGGAAATGTTGCAAGCTCTGAAATTTCTCAACAGAATTGTGCTATTCAAATTGCAGGATTGTATTTTGGGATTAGAGCTTCATAATGTGGAGATCTGTAGGAACTTGATAGTAGGTATTAAATGCAGAGTAGCCTAATGGGCTCAAGTTGCCTCCTTTCTGTTCTTTTCAAGTAACATGGTTTGGCTTAAAGCACTACATGGAAAACTAATAATGGTTAACTTGGATCCTTCTAATATACTAAACAATTGCGTCAATGCAGTGAATATATTTTAAACCATCTTTATTGCAGAAAACTTTTTACAACGCTTTGAGAATTTCATTTTTTGAAGAGAGAACTGGATTATAGTTTTCTTTTGAATGATAGGTATGCCTGTGAAGCTTAGAACGTGTGTGCATTGCAATACGACGTTTACAAGTGCTGTTAGCCTGTCCAACCACTTACGCGCTTATGCACGAAAGAAGAGTGCTGGACTTTTGACTGGGACAGGTATGTTTTGTTACAGATGTAAAAGCAAGTCTGTCTATGATACATTTTCCTCATCAGACTGGACAAAAGCATATGTTATTTCAAAATAATTTTGAAGCTTCTGCTGGTAAACAATTTATTTGCCATAAAACTTCAGCAACTTGTAAGAAAAGGTATGTTGCTGTTGTCCACTCTCATGTCTGATTTTCATTCTTACTCATTTATTTTGGATCCAACACTTAAGGTATGTAAGCAAAAGTAAGAGATGGTCGCTTAAATTCATTCTCCTACAATATCACAACTTCCAAACCAGCTAGTTGGCCGTCTAATGAAGTGTTTAAAAGTACCTCAAAAATGAGAGGGGAGAAAAACCTCCCACAAAAAAACCAACAAGTAATTTTTACAATCTAGTACATATAATTACTGAGAATACTGTAGTTAAAATAGGAAAAGCAAGTAATTTTACAGTTTGTGCTATTTCTAACAACATATTGTATGTAGTTGGTTTCATTTCTTGTTTGGCTCACAACCCAAAAACTACCTGGTCTGACATGGAGTGAGTGTAGTACAGCATTTGGCACTTCTATTAATGTGTTTTATTAAAACACACTTAATTTTGAAATTCCTCTAATATTCCATATTTTGACTCATTTCCAGAGGCCTGCAGTTTGCTTGGCTGTAGGCAATTTCTGAGTTTACTTGGATTATTGCTGAGATTAGTGGGACTTAATATGATCAACAGCAAATTGGGGAGCAGCGATGGAATATAGCGGGGAAAACTTGGAGATACAAAGTCTGGAGTATTCAGTAATTAAGAAGGGCAACCATCAGTTTTCTGTGTCAACAAGCACAGACTTTTACATAACGCTTTGGAAAAATGCGTAATCTTTTTTTTTTTATCTGCAGATGTAATTCATTATGCTAATGCTGACAAAATGAGTTTCAGGCTTTCTCTGCAGAAGGCTAAAAGAAATATTTTTACAAACTGGGCCTGTGGCTGCCAGGTCTTATGTTATACTAAGTTAATGCTGTAACAAAGTAGATTTAGAAGGAAGTCAGCAGGTGTAGTAGTATCCAATGTGTAGGAGTGTATGCCTTTAGTTAGTGATTCTGAAAGTTTTCATATTTACTCGGTAGAAAGGTGATGATAGTGGACTTCATTTACCACTGCTGTGATTTGATGTTAGCCCTGTGGTAAGTTACTTTGCTTAAATACCTACTGGTGAAATATTTTTCAATAGCTATATATTTAAATTGCACGTTGAAATCTTAAAAATAATTCAGTGGAGGAGGCATTGTGGCAAACAGGACAGCACACAGAGATGGGATCCTGGACAAGCTCCTTGCACCTCAGCTTCCCTTTTGCTAAAGCTTAAGGTGCTTTCAGGGGTTTTTGTTCGTTTTCTGTGAGAAATGTATTTTGCTAGCAAAGTGGTAGCATACTCATCAGAACAGTTGCCACTTTCTTTAAAAGAACTGGAAGAAAACTCCTCTGTCTTGTATCGTTGGACCTAGAAGTTTGTTTAAAACTAGGTTAGAAACAAAATGAGGTGAGAAACAAAGCTTAAAAAAAATTCAGGAAAAAAAACTTTAAAATCTTTTGATCTCAGAAGCTGGAGCTGGGCCAAATAAATAGCCTGTACCGTGTGGATAAAGGCCTTTCACTGAAACCAATGACTTAAACATTATGCAACCAATATATATTTGTATTAACTTAGTCATTACCGCTAAAACTGTGGTAACTGCGAAGTTTGTAAACTTTGCTCATTGACTTTTCATTCACGCAAGCTCGATGCGAGGCTTGTAGACCAGAAAATATGCTTTTAAACAGTGGTTTTAGCTGATATACCACTTTATATTTTAAGTTTTGTGAAGAGAATGCAAGGTTTCGTTAGCACACGCTAGTTTTAAACTCTCCTATGAGTGTCGCTCTTGGGGAGATCTCAGTTTTTCTTATTAAAAAATGGTTGCAGTCGAGAGCGATTTTCTTCAGTTTGGCTTCAGCCTGGAACCTGTATGGAGACAATGACGATAGGTTTATACAGGTTCCTTCTTCTGTTTTCAGAAAGCCTTTCTTGTATCTTCTAAAGTAAACATAACTACTGAAAAGGAATCATGTTGGTTGAATTATTTGTCTCAGTTTCGTGCTGTAATTAAAGAATTATGTGTAAACATGAATGCTGTAATTCTTTTATTTGGCAATTGTTATGGGAGCTACCTAGGCATTACTGTTTAGTAAGAGAAATACAGTAATCTCTGCACATCACCAAAGTGAGACCTTTCCTAGCGCTACGTTAGCTTCCGTACTAGTCTTCAGCTCAGTTTTTCAGTTTGTCTGCGT